TCCAGGTTCCGCTGGACATCGGCCAAGAGCTTGGCGAAGGCTTCTTCGAGCGGTTGTCGGTTGGACACGGACTGCGACTCTGTCAACTTGTTCTTGTACTTGTTGAACGCCTGCCCGGGTGAGTTTAGTCGGGCAGCGCGCGCAGACAGGGACACAAGACAGCCGCGGGGTAAGGATTGTTAGTCGAAAAAAAAAAAAAAAGGTTCCTGGGTAAGGGCCGCATGAACAAAAAATAGTCGCCATGTTTAACGACGGTGAAATCGCGCGATACTGCGGTACAATGGTCTAACAGCTAAGGCATGCAAAACATGAGTACCCCCCCCCCCCCCCGACAAACACGCGACACAAGTGTGGGTGCCCTTACAAACACTGCTCATCCCCAAGAAGCAGGCTGAGGATGGGTCTCGTCACCGCCCACTGGTTGGCCGTGTTGTTGGACATGGACTCGAACAGCAGGATGTTGAAGAGGGTCTCCATGAGACCGGACAGCAGCGCCGGCTCTCTCGAGAGGTGCCCCTTCAGGACCAGCATCGCGGGGGTTTCCTTGGAGGCGTTCTTGAAGTGGTACGTCGCCAGGTGGTCGATCGTCGCCGCGCACTGCGAGGCTAACGGAGCGTCCAGCCCCTGGTACCAACAGTGTTTTGCAGCATCGGCGGTATCAAGCATCGGCGGTGAGCGTCATCCCACCGCACAAAATGTGCGGTCGGAAAAGAACACAAAAAAACGAGAGATGGACAGGGGTCCGGAAGACGAGATAGATAAGGCGTGCAGGGGGGGGGGGGGGTTTTCGTGAACCGCAGTAACTGCAAGACGCAAAAAACGCCAAAAATCGTGTGGCAAACAGTTCGCACGAGAAAAAACAAGAGGCCACACCGAATAGCAATTGCGATCGAAACAAATACTTCGCAACACTCTTTTGACCGGTACCATAGACACACAGGTGCGCAAACACATGTTTACAGTGCTCCGTCGTCTTGAGGGCGTGTGGCCAATGGTCTAACAACACAGGCTGTAAAACATGACTACGCCCCCCCCCCCCCCTCCCACAC